TCCTGCAGGCGCCCAGGGTGGGTTAGGTGCTGGCCAGAGACCCCTGCTGTGTGGCCCCAAGCATGGGTGGGGGTGAGCTGGGCACCTGCAGGGAAAACTAGACACAAGCCTAGTTGTGTCTTCCTAGACCACTGGTCACATTATCAGGGGCCCCCTGGGGGCAGGCATTCCAACAAAGGGCCTGTGACCACAGCGGGCTGGCCCATCTGAAGTTGCCCATCTGAAGTCGCCAGGCAGGTTTGGGGCTGCCGGATCTTGGCAGGCCATTCCTTCACTCCGCCTCTCAGCTGTGGTGGCCCTGGGGGAGCAGGAGGCGCCTGAGCTGTACTCTCCTAGCTGTGAACCCCTAAGTGACAGAGTGCTCCGTGCCCTGGGACCCTCGCCTCCCTGGGAGGTGGGCAGAGCAGTTACCCTCACCTTCCCACAGATGACCACGCTCCCAGAGCTGTCGGAGCGTGGGGGGTCCCAGAAGGACTTCCAGGAGGCGGAGAGAGAGTGGGACTGACTAGCCTTGAGAGTTGAGGATCCTCCTGCCTCACTGAACAGAGCAGAGGCCTCTCCTAGATCTGTGCCGGCAGACCCCACGATGCAAGCAAGGACGTTGGTTCTGAGCTTCCTGGGAGTCAGTGTGAAAAGGGGAATTTGTAAGCTTGTGATCAGAAGAGGAAACCCACAGTCATTTGCTGAGATTTTAGTATCCATGGGGTGCGGTCCTGGGACCAGTACCCCGTGGTGACTGAGGGACTGCCATTCACTGAGGTGTTAGGGGCAAAGGGGTCAGTTCCTCTCAGATGATTCAGAAGTAGGGCTGGCCCCCATGGCCTGGTGTTTAAGGTAGCCAGATACCGCATGACCTGTAGGAGGTGGCCCAGATCATAGCAAACGTGGTGACTTAGACACACGTAGAATGTGGTTTTATGGGCAGTCATTGGCAGGGCTTTGAATGCCATGAGCGTATGAATACACTAGCTGTCTATGTTTGAAATGCATGGCAGTGTCAAGTTAAAGAAAATCATATGTTAATCAGAAATGGCCCGCAGAATATTAGAAAAAAACTTATATAGAACTACTTAGCACCAGGTGGCCTTGTATTACGACAATGGCTGACCACGGTTTGAATCTCAGCCCTAGTGTCTTAGAAAACACACCCGGCGGGACCAGCAGGTAGCATAACAATTGTGTTGCTGGACTCCCACATAGTTGACTGTGGTTCGAGGCCTGGACCTGGTGGCTTAGAACTCATGCCAGGTGCCCAAGATCCTGAGGGGAGAATGGAGGAGAAGGGACTGTGGTATGGCCATCTACCCTGGAGGATTTTTTGCTTTTTGTCTCTCTGTCTCTCCAGTGAACACACATGCCCTTCAACAAAAATCTCCCTTAAAAAAAAAAATGTCAGGCACATCTGCCCCAAATCCCGACAGGACAGAAAAACAGAAGGAATGGCAGCGTGACCACACCCCTACCAGGAGGTGCTTTCTCTCGCTCTGTTACAAACATATGCACATAGAATTCTCCGGCAATTTTTTCATAGGACTCAGGAATCTACACACATCTGCTACCTAGTATATACGTTAGGTCTGTGCCGAGAGGAGTAAAGCAAACGTGGCAGGCGTCCACACTGGTGCACCTGACGTGCTCTCGTTTGCCCACCCCCGAGATGTACTGACGTGTAGTCCGAGGGCACACGTGGCTTTCTGCGGCCGTCCGGCCTCTGTGCTCGGCCGAGGGCTGCCCCAGCAACTGAGCACAAATTGGCTGCTGAGACGGGAGAAGGACCCTGGGCCCAGGGGGTCCCTCTGGAGGTCTAGGTGGGGTCCGTCCTGCCTCCGCCTGGGTCTTCACGTGGCCTTGTCTGTGTCCTCTCTCTCACTAGGTCACTTGTCATGAGATTTAGGGCCCAACTGGCTAATCCAAGATGATCTCGTCTCAAGATCCTTAACTTAATCCCATCTGCAAAGACCTTCTTTCTGAATAAAGTCGCAGTCACCGGTTCTGGGTGGACGCACCTTTTGGGGCTACCATTCACCGGCTGGGGCCCCCGGCCTCTGTCAGCCCTTTGGCCTCTGTCTGCTTTGCTCAGAGTTGCCGTACTGGAGAGGTGTCGTCGGCTTTTCTGGAGCACGTCCCTCCAGGTTTCCTCGTGGTGAGAGTCAGACTCTGCCTTTGAAGGAAGACCCCCGAGGCCATGTGGGACCGTGCCTGGCGCTCGGGGGTGTCTGGCATTGGCTCTTCCCTGCTGTGCCACGCCTTGGTTGGGCTGGTGTCCTGAGGCCATTCTGGTTTTCTTCCCGAGTCACACCTGTGGTCCAGGCAGGTGAGCCACTGAGGCCCTGACCCCCGCTGGGCCGGGGTGGCCGCTGCACGGTAGGTGCCCAGTGGATCTGCCATGAGCCTGGGCCCAGCTTGGGCTCTTCGCGTAGCCCATTTCCATCCTCCTGCCCCCACTTCCCAGATGGGGACTGAGCTGGGAGGCTGAGTGGTTTGCCCTGGGACATAACAGCTAAAGCAGTAGGAGGCCGCGCGTCTTCTGACGGGCGCCCGCTCCAGGTGAGCCTAAGCACAGAGCTCTCGCCCGTGAGGTGGGTGTTCTGTTCCTCAGGACTGCCAAGCTCTGGGCCAGCCCCACGGCGCAGCGATAAGTGCGTGCATAGGAATCTGGGCTCCCCTGGGCCAGCAGGTGGCGTGGAGCTTAAGGCACTGGATCTCATATGGCCAGATGCACGGTTTGAATCCCAGGCTGACAACTTGAAAAACACAGAGTAGGCCGGCAGATGGTGTGGTGGTTAAGGCACTGGACTCCCCACATGGCCAACTGTGGTTCGAGTCCCAGGCCTGGTGCCTTGCTTGGCGCGCTCTCTCTCTGTCTTTCTCTTACTGGTGAGCATATATGTCCTATAGTAAATTAAAAGGTAATAATAAATAAAGTTAAATACATTCCTTAAAAGAAGAAAATCACATGGGGCTTCCGTATGCGCGCACCCACAACCCCAAGAGCAGATGGAGAAGGGACGGTGGCATGGCCGTCCGCCCTGGAGGGTGATTTCCTTCCTTTAGTTAATTTCTCAGGGTCTAGTAAGTGATGTCAAATTCCAGCTTTTAGACCAACGAACAGTGCCCCAGCACGTAACCTGCCAGAGGCCTACACTGCCCCATCCGCTCTGGTTCGTCTTTGAACCCAGTACTCCCTCGAGCATCTGGAGTGGATGTTCCTTGCTCCCACAGCACCCATCAGAGCCTGGAACTGAGGTCGAGGAAGCCAGATGACTTCCCACGGTGGCGTCCACGAGTCTACCTGAGCCGGGGGTGGGGGGGTGGGCAGCCAACACTGGGCTCTTCACTGCCGTGTGGCTCTGGGCAGGTCCTGTACACGCGCTGAGTGCCGCGCAGTGCTGACCCCGTGACAACCCTGTGAGGTGAAGCGACTCGCCGTCGCACCGCCTGCAGTGGCAGGCTGGACTTGCACTGGACCACGCTCAGACCCCAGGCCCAACCGACTGCCCTCAGGGTCCCTAGGGCTTTCCCTAGCCAGCCCGGCTCCTGTGCTCAGCCTCATGAAGACCCTAGCGAGTGCTCCCATTTATTTTTTGATTGCCACAGGGTATGTGCACGTACCACGAGGGAAAGCACCCCGCCACGGCCACGGTCCTGCCACTGCCCCTCCTCCTGTTCGCCTCCCATTGGAATTCTGGGCACGGGCGCATGTGGCGTGGTTTTCAAGCCACTGGGGCCAGGACTTGGACTGAGGCTGGCCACGTGGAATCTGGATTTTTCTTATTTCTTTTTTAGTTTTGCCAGAGAGACAGAGAAAGGGGGAAAGTGGGAAATCACTCTCCGGGGCGGACGGCCATACCACAGTCCCTTCTCCATTCTCCTCTCAGGATCTTGGGCACACAAGCGCACACGCCTGGTGTGAGTTTAAGCCACCGGGTCCGGGACTCAAACTGTGGTCAACTACATGGGAGTCCAGCGACATAGCCATTACGCCAAATGCTGGTCCCTAAATGTGTAACTTTTAAAAAATCCCTTTTCCTCAGGGGAAATGAAGCTTTTCCAAGGACCTTTTCCTCGTGGAATTGAGCACAGAAGACTGGGGAGTGGGTGGTAGGTGACATCGTTGATGGTGTCACAAGCTTTTTATTTGTAATTGGAGAGAGATTTCTGCTACAAGGCACATGTGCTCGTCAGAGAGACAGCAAGAAATCACCCCGGGGGGATGGCCACGCCACAGTCCCTTCTCTATTCTTGGCATTTGGGGCACGCACACAGGCCAGGCATGAGGTTTAAGCCATTGGGTCCGGGACTCGAACCGCAGTCCTCTCAGGATCTTGGGCACACAAGCGCACACGCCTGGTGTGAGTTTAAGCCACCGGGTCCGGGACTCAAACTGTGGTCAACTACATGGGAGTCCAGCGACATAGCCATTACGCCAAATGCTGGTCCCTAAATGTGTAACTTTTAAAAAATCCCTTTTCCTCAGGGGAAATGAAGCTTTTCCAAGGACCTTTTCCTCGTGGAATTGAGCACAGAAGACTGGGGAGTGGGTGGTAGGTGACATCGTTGATGGTGTCACAAGCTTTTTATTTGTAATTGGAGAGAGATTTCTGCTACAAGGCACATGTGCTCGTCAGAGAGACAGCAAGAAATCACCCCGGGGGGATGGCCACGCCACAGTCCCTTCTCTATTCTTGGCATTTGGGGCACGCACACAGGCCAGGCATGAGGTTTAAGCCATTGGGTCCGGGACTCGAACCGCAGTCAACTCCGTGGGAGTCTGGCGACGTAACCATTGCGCCATCTGCTGGTCCCACAGTGGTTCTGTGGCTCCTCCCACTGGGCACCAAATAGATGGGAGTGCCGGGGAGGGGCGGCCCAGCCGGCCGAGGAGGGGGCGCACTGAGGGGCGCACGAGGGAGGAGGCCTGGAGTCGCGACAGACGAGTGTCCCCGGGAGAGAGCGCAGGCCCGCGAGCCCGTGCTCACTGGGCCTCCCTGTCGCTGCAGTTGGGCCACGTGGTGCTGTCCCCGGTCTGGTTCCTCTACGGCCTGCTCATGAAGCTGTTCCAGCGCTCTGCCCCGGCCATCACCCTCGAGAGCCCGGACATCAAGTACCCACTGCGTCTGATCGACCGGGAGGTGAGCACAGCACCTGTCCTGCAGGCCGCCGCTCGGGGCGCTGCACCCCCGGAAGGACCCCTCACCAGCCCTCTCTGTGAAGGGACAGCAAGGTGCTGATTCTGACCAAGGCCACCCGGAAGTGTCCAAAGTCAAACCCAGGTCCCTGTGGCCGGAGCCCCTCTGTCCCACGGAAGGTCAGGGTAGGGGGACCCTTCAGGCTCTGGGGGCTGAGCGTCCATTTTGCAGGTGAGGAAACTGAAGGAGGCTGAGTGCCAGCTCTGTGGGTGAGGCTCCTCACTGCCCGCCCCCAGGGTCGTTCCTCACAGCCTGGCACGCGTGGCCTCCCCGGGCATGCTCTGTTGGTGGCTCCGTCCACCCCAGCCCAGAGGCTCTGCCCCCTCACTGCCTGCACCGTCCTTTTCAAACCTCCGCTGGGCCCACCCATCCTCCCCAGCACAGCGCAGCCCAGGACAGCCATCCCGGCTCCCGGCCTCGCCCCCGGCCTGTGTCTATTTCTGGCCGCCCCCAGCTGCCCCTGGAGGGCGTAGCAGGGAAAATTGAGTCACCGGCGGAGGAAGTCATCCACAAGGCCCAGCCCTGGGCTCCACCCTGGCCTGCACCCGAGTGTTGGGCTCCGGGCTCTGGGCTCCGTGCAGGGAGCTCACGCCCTCCTGGGAAGACGGCCGAGTGGCCACATCCCGCGAGTTTGTAGAGAGATCAAAAGCCGGAGAGGAGCAAAAGGTGTAGAATGAGTAACAGCAAATTGCCCGGCCCAGACGAGGCCACGCCTGGCTGCCGCTGTGCACTGACGTGGGGCGGGTGCACACATGTGGTGCATGCCTGCATCTTGCTGGATCCTGGCGTGCTTGGACTGCCCTCCTGTTCACGCCCACCCGTGGTGTGCAGGACGAGTGGCAGTGTGAGCCTGTCCCCACCCCTCGAGAGCATGTGACAGATGTCCCGTGGCAGAGGTGGCTTCCTCCCGTACGCCTGTTATTTCCTGGGCCATCTACGCCCTCCCTCGGGGGCCCAGGTTCGATCCCCCACTGAGCACCTCAGTATGACCACGAGCATGTCCCTGGCCCTCTGGGCCGGCGTGTGCCTGACGCCTGTACCGTCACATGCGTGTGCAGGAGTGTGCGTCCACACGTCCCACAGTGATGCTTCTCAGGAGGGTACGTGGGGACATGGGGGAAGGACTCGGGTCGGGGGCCCCAGGCAGGCCGGCCTCTTCCCGAAGGCGTCCTCAGCTCCCGGCCTCCTTGCAGATCATCAGCCACGACACCCGACGCTTCCGCTTCGCCCTGCCCTCGCCCCAGCACATCCTGGGCCTCCCCATCGGTGAGTCCTGCCCAACCCAGCCTAGACTGAGCCTGGCAGGCTCCGTTTCAGGTCAGAAAGGTGGGGGCCTCACTTTTCCACAGGAAAGGCAGGGAAGGCTTCCAGGAAGAGGCAATAGCCACCCTGGGCCTTTGAGGGTGGGTCTGTCAGCGTGAGAGTGGGAAGGGCCAGAGTCCTGGCGGCAGCTTCAGCAGGGGTGGCAGGATGCTGGGATGTGGCGGGTGGCCGTGGGTGCTCAGGCCAGGCCAGTGGTCTCCTGCAGGGACAGCCCCGCCCAGGGCGACGTCCCCATCCCTGTCCCCGTCCCGCAGGCCAGCACATCTACCTGTCGGCGCGGGTCGACGGGAACCTGGTCATCCGGCCCTACACGCCCGTCTCCAGCGATGACGACAAGGGCTTTGTGGACCTGGTCGTCAAGGTGAGGGGCCGCGTGGAGGTGCCCGAGCCTGGCCTCGAGGTGGTGGCAAGTCCTAGTTTGCCAGTGAGGGGCCTCAGCAGGTGGGGGCTCAGACCAGCCGCTGGAGCCCCGGGGAGGGGAGCAGCTCGTGCGATGCCCGTGCGATGCCGGTGGGCCCAGCGGTTCCTGCTCTGACACCGGGGATGTCTAGCAGGGGCCGGCGTGCGGACCAACCGGTCAGCCTGGCACCATGCTACCCCACAGGGCCTCCGTGAGCCCCAGGCCGCCTCGTCTCCTTGGGGAATGTGCCAGTGGCCGCTCGGGGAGTGTGGGGAGCCTGCTGGGCACGACTGGGGAGCTGGGCCAGGGGGTTGGTCGTGCCAGGCAGGCGTAGAAGCGACCTGGCAGTGAGACAGCAGTGCAGGGCCTTACAGAACCGTCCCGAGTGGGGAGGGGACAGCCACCACAGCGTGGGCGTTTTACGGAAGTTAGGAAGCCAGGCTTCACCGCCAGTCTGTGTTCCCCGAGGGCACGTCTAACGTGAGGGCCAGCCCAGGCTGCTGTCCTGGGCAGGTGACAGTGAAGGGGAGACCTGGGGCTGAGGTGGCGTCGGCCAGGTAAGGAGGAGGAAGGGGGCGTTCGAGTGTGTGGGCCCTGGGTCAGGAGGAGCTCCAGGGTGAGGCAGCTGTAGGACAGGGGCGCGAAGGGCGAGAGGTGGGGGCAGCCCCAGGGAGATTCGGGGCCGGTCCAGGAGCAGAGCGAAGGGAAGGGGGCGAGCACCAGATCACAGGGAGGTCAGGGCTGGTGCCGCCAAGGTGGGGATTCAGGAGAGGCCCATGGGTAAGGCAGCCAGACCCCACGTGCCGGCCGTGCGGCTCCAGTCCCAGGCCCAGCACCTGAGAAGCACGTCGGGTACAGGTCAGAGCCCTGACCTGGCCACCAGCACCCAGACAGCGCGCTGTCACCTTCGCCCCTCCCCGCTCCGCACACATCCCAGCCGCGGCACGAGCTCTGCTCCTGCCCCAGGCCCCATGCACGCTCTGCCCCTCCCCGGCCTTTCCCCCTCCTGCCTTCCAGGCCTGGTGCCAGCGCCCCCATGCAGCCTCCCACCCAGCCCTGAGCAGGGCAAGCTGCCCCTGTCTCCCGGCCCTTTGTAGGCGGGGAGGACCCACACTTCCCTTTCCCAAGGCAGTAATCCCAGTGGGGACAGGGAGGAAGTTGTTCCAGGGGGGACGTGTCCATGACAGCACGGAATGGAAAGAACCCGACTCCCACCAGGAGGGGCGTGGTGGGGCGTTGCTGTGCTGACGGCCACAGACGTGTCGACAGACGACCGTGCCTCGCACCAGCAGGCTGGGACCACGGAGGGCAAACGGAGCACGTGCACACCCACGTGAGAGGGAGAGGGGAAGAAAGGCGTGCCCTCTGCCGGGTCTGGTCACACCCGGCCCCTCCTCCAGCCCATGTGGCCGGGCACGTGCACGCATGCCGAGCGTGTCTAAGGCTGACCAGGCCAGAAACTTGAAATGCCATCAGTTGGGATCCAGCTTTAAAAAAAAATAAACATTGCTAGAGGGCGTGTGTGGTCACTTGAGAGAGAGGGGAGAGAGTGGGAAGTGGGAGAGTACCCCACGACGGTGGCTTCCTACAGTCCCTTCACCTTCTCCTGTTGGCATTCCGGGCAGCACGCACACCTGCCTGGTGTGCTCCCCAGGCCTCGGGGTCCGGGACGTGGGCCGCACAGGTGGCCTTAGGGATCCAGCACCCTAACCTGTCACCCAGCAGCCCCACCTTTTCTTCGCTAGGTCTTTGCTATAGGATACATGCACTCAGCAGAGAGAGACAGAGAGGGAAAGTGAGAGATCACCCCTGCAGTGGGGGGACGACCATGCTGCAGTTCCCTCTCCTCCCTCTCTGGGATTTGCGGCAAGTATACACACACCCCCAGTGTGATTTTCAAGCCTCCGGGTCCAGGACTCGAACTACAGTTGGCCATGTGGGAGTCCAGCACCTAAACCATCGAGCCACTGCTAGCCCTGGCTTCTCTTCAGTAGCGCATTACCATGGCGCCATAGAGTGGGCCCCAGAACGCGATCGCTCAACAGCGAGTCACGGAACTCCGGCGTGGCACTGCCCCCAGTGTGGGCAAGAGCTCGCCCTGGAGACCCCGGCCGAGGACTGAGGGTGGCTGTGTCTTGCAGGTGTACTTCAAGGACACCCACCCCAAGTTTCCCGCGGGAGGGAAGATGTCTCAGTACCTGGAAAGCATGCAGATTGGGGACACCATTGAGTTCCGGGGCCCAAACGGGCTGCTGGTCTACCAGGGCAAAGGTGAGGTGTTGAGAGTCCCCTGGGGACTGAGCGGGCGCAGGGAATGTGAGAGTTGAGGTGGGGGGTGCCACAGGGGCCCCCGCTCTGCCCTGCTGGCGGGTGGCCTGTTGGGCAAGCCGGGGCCTCGGACTCCTGGGCCTTCCTGAGGACTCGTGGGCCGGCACAGGAGTTGCAGGCTGGCTGCCCTCCAGGCCAAAGCCAGCACAGACCGGGCTGACCCCATGAGGAGCCGTCGCTGTGTCTGGGCCTGCACCTCCTCCCACTCATGCCTGGCTGGAGTGTGGCAGGGGGGGCCCCCCCGGGCCCCCCAACGAC